TATCCAAAACACGCTAAGCAAGTGCCATTTTTGTCAACATGGATGTCACATGAAAATTGGTTTATATATTAACTACAGTGAAACATGCAATTTGATTGATCAATAACCGTGCAGGATCAGGCTATCCTGTACGAGAAATTAAAATGCTTTCGTGGGATTCTCAAAATGTCATTGTTTCACTGTAGTATTTTATAAAACAATTACCAAATGGTTTTCCGTGTGCAGGATTGCTTGATCCTTGCACGAGGAATGTTGCGAGACTTTTGGAAAGCGTAAAAGTGCAATCGCCTGTTGCTTGAGTACTTTTACGCTTTCCGAAAGTCTCGCAACATCCCTCATCACACAGTTTTTAATATACTTCTCAAAAAACATGTAATACCAGCAAAATGTGAATGAATTACCCGTTGGTTCACTATAATTCAGTAGTTAATTTTTAAAACATTTACCAAATAGTTTTCTGTGCAGAATAGCAATGTCCATGCACTTGGGATGTTGCTCGACTTTCAGAAAGTGCAAAAACACACTTACTCTGGCTTGTGTATTTTTATGCTTTCCAAAAGTCTTACAGCATCCGGTGTGCAGGTATAATGCTATCCTGTATGGAAAACCATTTGGTATTAATGGGTTAATTACAGTACTGTACATACTGTATATATATACAGTCATGTACCTGTAAGAATTTCATCTGCGCATGAAAATCTGCTATCTCCATGTGGAGTCCTTCTTTTCTTTCTTCAGGATTGAGACCATTAGCAACTTGCAAGAGATGATTTATTCCACGGTCAATTGACAATTGGTCCCCAACTACTCCTTGGCTCATCAAATAAGCTTTCTCTTCTTCATCACCAGAACATGGTACATACTTGTTAATTTCTTCCATCACATATTCAATGCCTTCTTTTGTGTTCTCATCATGAAATAACATCCCAAGGAGAACCTTGTGAAACATACAGTAAAAGCTTATGCATAATGTTGATTCATTAATGCCAATGTATTTTTCATGATCCATTGTATTTTTCATGTAGTTGTGTGTATATATATATGCGCTATGTTGTTGCCTAGCCCTAGGATATGTAAAATACAAGCAAAACTTCGATGTTTCTAGTGAAGGCCCTTATTCTGGAAGTTAGATTTGTGGAAGTACACAGTGTAAAGCAAGATCTATCTGTGCTTAATTAAGATTTCAAGTTCATTTAACCATAGACAATCCAGAAGACATGTCTTTCAGGTTATCTATGATTTAACAAATTGAGTGGCATTTGAAACCTAAAGGACTTTACAATGTTATAACATAGTATGATTATGATTTTTTCTGTGTTGGTGTAATGTACTTAGGTGAATATGATGCTTGTGATGTTACTCTGAGTGTATATCCACACCGGGCAAGCTTGAAAAATATGCATGATTATTAGATTACATTGATATCGAAGGAACTAGATTCTGTTCCAAAATATCACATACTCGAACTAGTATTCCAAAGGTCGTAGGTTCGATTCTCACCGTGGTCAGGCATATTTTTCAAGCTTGCCCGGTGTGGATATACACTCAGAGTAACATCACAAGCATCATATTATGATTAATCCACTGTGTACCAGCACTTTACCATTGTCAAGTATAAAATTATCTGACATTAGACGGAGTTAAATATTAAAGTATTGTGCATTGAGCCACACTATCACTTAAGGGGTTAAATGTATAATGAAGTTAAGATGATCAAATTTTCTGATTGTTTTGAACACCAAAGGAATCATTTGAGTTGGCATGTACAGTAGTACTGTTTTCCAAAATTTTTATTCCCAATAATCAGGTGAAATTGAAAAAAAATTACAGTGGCTCAAGTCATTATTTTTAGTTTTGCCTGCTTACTCAAGATAATCAGTTTGAATAAATTAAATAATACATTTGCAAAGGTAAGCTTACTGTTTCTGTTTTCTTCATCATTTCTGATTGATACTGGTGCTTGATATGCTGTGGAGCACACTGACTTAGAAAGTGTAAGCAAACAATGTTCCTCACAATAATTTGTGACACAAGAGTAGAATAATTTTGTCTCTGCAGCATGTGTTCTTCTTTGCTGGAGATAAACTTTCCATTGTCAAGATCAAGGATGGCAGAATTCTTTAGTCGCACTGTCGATAAATGATTACCAGATACTGTGTTTTCAGTGCACTTATTACTGACCCAATGATTATCAATATTTTGATGTGTTTCAGTCATATGATGCACAATTTGCTTAAAGTCAAAGTTATCAAAAACAATTTTTCTTCCATTGTCTGGTTCAGTTGCCTCTGTAGCTGCATTCACAATCCCGCTATCTATTTCATCAATCTCGTCATTTTTCTGAGCGAATTCTGCTTTCAATCTCTTCCCTTCGATAAGAACATTTTCCAGAATTTTTTCATTGTGCTTTTCCCCATATTCATTCAATTTCTTGTACAAGAAAGTATGGGACACAGCCAAGCGATGAACCCTGAGTCGACACAGAGTAGACTAAAATAATAAATACATTAAATTCAGTTGTTTTCACATTGGGTCATTCCGGTAAAAATCCATACTTCCCCCACATAGGAAAGTGAAAGTTGACCCATTAAAGTGCAAGACTCTCCCTTTTGACGAGTATAATGGTGTGGTGTTAGACAAGGTAAAAGAATAAAGTATGGTGCATTTGGGTGCATCGCTCCTTCATGGGTTAACCCCCTGCCTTTGGATGTCCTAATACACTTAAGGTGGAGTAATACGAGCAACAAAATTGCTGCAACTTGCAACAAAATCTGATTTCAACGCATGTTAATTGAAAATATTCACACATACATTACAAATCATGAGGCAACATGTGTCAACATTTCTACTTAACATGCATTGGAATCAGATTTTATTGCAAGTTGCAGCAATTTTGTTGCTCATATTACTCCAGCTTTACAATTGTCACAAAGAAATTTTTACCCCCCTCCGAACTGGGGGAAGGTGAGTTTGAACAAACATGATAAAATGATACAATAAAATGGCATGGGCATCAAACCAGACAATGGATTACTTTGAGATTTCATAGTACATATTAGCTTCAGAATTGAGCCTTTAGAAATATATATATAGAGAGAGAGTAAAATACATAACTATATCATCTGTGTATCAACTTACCATCAAACCTGAATGCTGAATAAATATGGTTTTCAAAAGCTGTACTGCTGTCATTTGGGGACATCTATTCTTTAGACAGACTGCTGCTGCCATACAAACAGCTCGGATCCAGTAAAGATCAGAAGTACATGTATTTGATCTTCTTCTGCGTACTGAAGCAGTCAACAAAACACTTTGTAACAGTGGTGTGCGTCCCTTTAATTCTTTCTCAAACTTTGTTAGAGTAAAGTCAAGAATGTTCTTCTTGTCCGTCAAACGCAAAATACTTGGGTATTTTGAAGCACACAAATTAGAACATTCTTTATCGATCTCCTTTAAAAATAATAAAATTGTTCTCTGACTTTTGCATGTTTCCAAGCTGCCCTGGCAATTTGAGCATATGTACCGCGACACATCATTTTTCCAAGAGAGCAAAGATCGGCAGGTAAAATTTTATTGCTTGTTTGGCTTTTCCATTGGACTCTAATTGAAACCACAGTGTCCTCACTTTCAGATGCTTGATTTAAAACGACACTCGGCGTATCGACGCGAGCATCATGAGAAGTTTGATTTGTAGGTGGTAAACGCGGCGATTGTGGCATGTTTGCATGTTTTACTGAAGAATTTTTCTTTTGGGTAGACGAAGAGTTTGGTTGAAAGTCGAATTCCAATCGATCAGTTTTAATACTGTCACTAATAACAAATGGAATAGATGATCGCTTAGTCGTTGTTTCAGGTGTCTCAGATTCGTCGGAGGACAACACACGCTTCGTAGAATGTTTAATCTTAACTGCTATTCCGTTTACTCGCGCTTTATGTAGATAGTCGTTAAATAGCTTTGCGTTCAGGTTTTCAGTTTCCTTCTATGATTTATTCTTTGAGTAATCAGACACAAACATGGCCGGCAAATATGACTTGAAACTGGCTGCACGACAAAATCAAGGTCTTCCAATTCAGCCGCAATGTCGACAGCACGCTTGCCATTAACGAGATTTATATCTGACTTTTTTTCTAACTTGGCGAAACACAACACGCATATGAGCGACGCCATATTGATTTTTTAAATATTCAATATGTTAAATTTATACGAAATTACCAATTCGGAAATTATGCAGGAATCCACGTGACCATACAAGCTTCGTGCCGCGGATTCGCAGACTATATATGTGAATATATAGTCTGCGCGCAGGCTAACAAACTACCTGTTGTTCTGGAGATTGGAAACTATTGAAGGGTCATGATCAACCACAATGGAATGCGCGCTTTTGTTTACGTTTTTCAGTTACCTTCCTTAATAGTTCCCACATTTTCGAAGCACCAAAAATGGCTGACTCTGGCCCACAGCGTAACAGAAACGTAAACAAATGGAAGCATTGAACTGTGGTTCATCATGACCCTTTCAAATTGTTACATATGTCATGTTGGTTGGTTGATGTTTCTACAATGCTAGACAAAAAAAAAACACTTGGACGCTTTTTCTTCATGGCCGACGATTACATATCATGGATGCTTTCATCTACAAAATGGTTGCATCACCCCTCCTCCCTTCCCAAAGCTATGTTGCTGTCTAATGTCAACAAATTTATAATTGTACCAATTAAGGGAGGGGGGATGGATTTTGGGAGGATATTTAGAGATTGTGGGACACTCTTTGTTTTTAATGTTTTTGTCCGAGTGATTTTGTCCATGATTGTTTGTCATCTGGTTAAAGTCATAGACATCGTGATTGCGTGGGTGTTGGTGTGCTGGTGGGAAACCTCGTTCCCAAGGCTTTCGTGTAAAGACGAGCGGAGAGAAGAAAAAGCTCTAGTCTAGGCCGGTCACGTGATGTGGGCATATTTGACAGTTACTCGTCAAGAAGTCGTTAACATTCTAACTGAAATATTACTAGTTTTCAAAAAAAATAAACAGTTAAAACACTTCTCAATCGATCGACATTATTTATGTATAGCGAGATTTGGCAAGAATTAACTGAAATCTCGGAAAACACCGTCGATGTTTTGTAAGATATACCGATATTTCTGGCAACGGCACTATCTCCTTTTTCTCGTCTTGAACAATATGGCTTTGCCTTTGAAATCTAGTTTAAATAATATGTTTTTAGACTTAGTTCGACATAACACCTCGTCAATATTTCATCCAATCTGCATAAAGTGATACAGTAATTACTGTAACATCGAATACTGTTTTTCAAAACCTTCTCAAACTTAATCCCAAAAAGGGCCATGGTCCCATTGGCGTACCCGGCGGGGGCGGAGGGGGCTGCAGCCCCCCCCCGACAAATTCTGCAAATTTTGTGGAAATATGCTATCTAATAGAAATTTTTCGTAATCACTCCTCTTCCCCCGTCGACAACGATTTTGGAAAGTTTGTCCGGAAAATTTTTTTTGACAACGCTGGCACAATCCGAAAAATCGGGCAAATTTCTTTCCGCCCCCCTAATTTATTCCTTCCCGTACGCCCATGCATGGTCCGGATGGCATACCGTCGTGACTCCTAAAAGAAAACGCAGATCTATTAGCTGGCCCGATAGCAGCCACTTTGAACTGTTCATATCGGGAATGTACCCTACTGCCAGTTTGGAAGAAGGCGGACGTAGTTTCAATACCGAAAGAAAGCCCACCCAGGATATCAATCGTCTGTTACGCCCTATTTCACTTACACCTAATCGAAACTCGCAGAAGAATTTGTTGTAATGATTTATGTGAAGCCAGCAGTAATGGAATTGATCGATAGTAAACAATTTGGGACGGTGCCGGATAGTTGTACGGCATATGCTCTTATAAGCATGCTACACACTTGGAATAAGGATACGGATGGTAACGGTTCAACAACTCGAGTTACGACGTTTGACTTCCGTAAAGCGTTTGACATAATAGACCATAATATTTATCGGAGAAGTTAACAAAGTATAACATACCGAAGTCTGTCATGCTTTGGATCTTAGACTTTCTGACTGACCGAGAACAGAGGGTAAAACTCAGCCAAGGCCAAAGATTGACATTCCGAATGGGGCAAGGTCTTAGCGGGCGTACCTCAAGGCACAAAACTCGGCCCGTGGTTATTTTTTATTACGATTAATGATCTAAGTGTTAAGGACGTTAATGATTTATGTAAATATGTTGACGACTCATCATTGTCGGAATCAGTTTGTAGTGATGGCTCAAGTAACTTACAAAAATGCGTAGATGAATTTAACCAGAAAATCAACAGCCGATGGCTTTCAGATAAATGAATCAAAATCAAAGAGTTTTGTATAAATTTTGCACCATACACACGTGAGTTCCTGCCAATTAGCCTACTATTAATGGAAAAATTTTTGAACGTGTAACATCGGTAAAATGGCTGGATCTAGCCATCCCAAATAACCTGAAATGGAATAGTCATATTTCACACATTTGTAAAAAGGTCACACCTCGTCTATATTTTTTAAGACAATTAAAACAAGCGAAATGACCAACTAACAACCTAATCCTTTCCTATTCCACCTGTATTCGACCAGTCATCGGGTATCCGTGTCAAGCATTTGACGACTCATTACCCAAATATCTGTCTGATGATCTTGAAAGACTTCAGAAACGAGCTTTTCGAATAATATTCCCAGAACAACACTACAAAGAAGCATTGAGGAGCACGAACACCCCATTACTTTACGATAGAAGACTGGAATTAACAACAAAACTTTTTAAAGACATAGTCAATAACCCTGAGCACAAATTAACGGATTTGTTACCGCCATTAAATAATTACAATAGCCACTTTTTGCGTAAAAAAAGAAATTTAACGTTCCACTTCATAAAACGAACAAATTTAGGAACAGTTTTATCACATAATTCTAATAAGTTTTCTGAATAACTTAGGAACTGTTGCTTGTGTGATGTTATTCTGAGTGTATATCCACACCGGGAAGGCTTGAAAAATATGCCTGGACAAGGTGGGATTCGAACCTACGACCTTTGCAATACTAGCCCAATGCTCTGCCAACTGTGCTACGCAGTCAGGTCGGTTCGAGTATGCGATATTTTGGAACTGAATCTAGTTCCTTCGATATCAGAGTAATCTAATAATCATGATATTTGCTGTGAATAAGATGCTTGTGTGATGTTACCCTGAGTGTATATCCACACCGGGCAGGCTTGAAAAATAAGCCTGGCCACGGTGGGATTCGAACCTACGAAATTTGGAATACTAGCCTAATGCTCTGCCAATTGAGCTACGTGGTCAGGTCATTTTCGTAACTCATGATCAGTTGGCAGACAATTGGCCTAGTATTCCAAAGGTCGTAAGTTCGAATCCAACCGTGGCAAGGCATATTTTCAAGCCTGCCCGGTGTGGATATACACTCAGAGTAACAGCACACAAACATCTTATTCACCTGAGTACATTACACCAACACAGCAGATTTCATGATTATTAGATTACACTGATATCGAATGAATTAGGCTCGGTTCCGAAATATCGCATACTCGAACCGACCTGACCGCGTAGCCCAGTTGGCAGAGCATTGGGCTAGTATTTCAAAGGTCGTAGGTTCGAATCCCACCGTTGCCAGGCATATTTCTCAAGCCTGCCCGGTGTGGATATACACTCGGAGTAACATCACACAAGCACCTTATTCACCTTAGTACATTACACCAACACAGCAAATAACTTAGAAACTGTTTTAACCATAATATGCTGGGGTTTTTAACCTAATTTAAATCAACCTCGTTCCCAGGGCTTCAGTGTGAGGACGAGAGGAGAGACGAGGAAGCCCTGGTGTGGACGGTCACGTGTCTACCAAAAAATGGCAGTATTTGACAGCTACTCGTCAAGGAGCGGCGAGATATTCTTTAATGAAATATACAAGTCTTCGAATCAAATATATAGCCAGAAGACTTCTCAATCGATATTATATATGTGTATAGCGAAGTTTGGCACGAATCAGCTGAAATCTCCGAAGACCCCGTCTATGTTTTCTAAGATATAACGATATTTCTGGAGATTTTCAACCACAGGCAAAGCTGCATCCAAGCTGCATCTATAGGCGTCTCCATGCAAGTGGTTGCTTTCTCCCAGCTTGAACAATATGGCTATTGCTATAATTAATATTTAGTTTAAATATGCTCTTATAGATCTGACTTAGTTCAATATGAATAAATACAAATATAAAACCTTGCGTAACCTGTCTACGCGGTACAGGAATATAAGGATTCGCTTGTTTCGCCGGACACCAACACTTGCCGTTCAGGAGCAGTGCTTGCCTACAATTTTATCCCCTTCACAATCTTTGTTTTATTTTATCGTACAGTTGCAATTTTCAAGTATTCGGGGTATTCTGAAACTGTAAAACTCGGTGGCGTGACGAATCTTGTAGAGACTACATCGGCCTACGCGTAGAGCTATTAAGTAAACAGGGCCTAAATTAACTTAGTAGTTTCATTTAATTGTTTGTCTTGCTTTTATTTGTCAGTACAGAATATTGTAAATTAAAATATTACTACAATGCAATACGCGTAGTATTTCATCTGCGCTACATTATAAATACTGTACAAGGAGAATTACAGCTTAAATAATAGTAGACGTTTCTTGTTTTAGCAGCACATATCACAGCTCACTTCGACACGGCTTTTGAGTTTTGTAACCAGCCGAGGCGAAAGTAAATCATGCAGTCAGGAAAACGTCTTACTTTGAAAGATTATTTTGCAAAACATACTCGTAAGAATCATAAAAGTACAAATGTTGAATTGTTATTGTCAACTGTCAAGTTCAGCTATTTTTAGACAATATGGCGTTAGCCAATCAGAATGCAAAATTGACCGGCCCAGACCAGGGCTTCCTCGTCTCTCCCTTCGTCCTCACACTGAAGCCCTGGGAACGAGGTTGAATTTAAATTATAGCACTAGAGAGTGTTTTAGTAACAAATTATAAGTCTGCGCATATGTGTATGTGAATGTGTATTTTCAAGTATATTAGTCTAATCTTTATCCTTTTCTCAAACAAAATACTTTTAAAAATTAGTTTATCGTTTTTAATATCTTTGTAAACCTAACATATTTCAGCAGTGGAATTAGATATATTCTAGGGCTGTAAGTTTAGTGTCAAAACAGGCGGTGTGCGCATTGGGATCGCAAAGCACTATGGGCGAAGCTTTTTCAAAATGGCGACGTAGAAGTTAAAAACAGGTGAGCGTTTACACTCATTCTACCCTTCTTATATCCAATATTTCATTGTGTTTTATACCGACTATACCTTTTTATTGTTTTATGAATCTCCGAGAGCACGTTTTAAATTCCATTCAACCTCTGTGTGCAAATGGTTTTGTTATATTTTTACACGCTTGTTTACGCGGTAATTTTTGGGTCAGATTTGTTTGCAATTTGCGAGTTTTTTGTAGCCGTTCGTTGGCTAAAATTAGTCGAGATGGCTTTTTTAGTACCTCTTCTGTATAAAAATATAAACGTTCCCCAACGCTCCCCACTGCAACATACAGTTCTAAGTCATTGAACATGGTGATTTTTCCCTTTGTAGAGGACAGTATTTTATAGCCACATGGCAATATGGTATCCAAAAGGCATGTGGTTGAGGAAGGCAATACACCAGGAAAGCCAACATCTAAACGACAGGGGCGGATCTAGGGGTCGCCAAATCAGTCGCGCGACTGAAGTAAAAATTGCCTACTTAAAAAAAAATTACTCCAGCTATCTATAGTGGCCAGTAGATCGAGTTACTAAAATTTTGAATCGTACCGGTAGTCCAGTTATACGTTTCATGCTGCGGCAGAGCTTCGGCAAAGTAATGATAGTCAGTCACGAACAGCGGTCTTACGCATGAAAGTTGATTGGCTCACACGCTCATTTCCATGGTTACGGCCATTTGCGACGGATCTATGGGGAGGCCTGACGGATTTGCAGGTTCAGGGGCTCTGTATGAGCCTTCTGATTGAACCATTTAAAAAAATTCTGCACTGTCATTGGCCTATATTTTCGACGGATTCGCAGCGTGAGGTATTCGTCAACACCGCATTAGTGTTTACCTCTGAGTGTTTACTATTTCGAACGTTTACTATTACGAGCGATTTCTACCAGCGATATCTGGAAACATTTTCGACAATGTTCAGTTTGCGATTGCGGCAAACAATTTGGAATCTCCATACAACATTTGTATACGGAGCTTGAAAAGAATATCGATGCCTCACGGACGAATTTTGTTGATTGTTTATCCATAGCCTATCGACATGGTTTGTTAGACCGCATTGGTCTGATGTAACATGATGATGTGAAATATTTAATTAGGCAGCTTGAAAAGCTCATTGACTGGTAGCCATTCTGATGTTGCTAGTTTATTAATGGTATATTTTGTATTCAATATATAGAGCACAGTAAGACTTTATTAATAGTAAGGGTTTAGTTCATTAAAATTTGACTTAACATCTTTGACTTAGTTAATGAATACGTGGTTGTTTTTTTAGAGCTCAGGCTACTGGCAATTACTTGTTATGTATAGTTCCGTGTTTTTGGTAACAGAACAGTATATTTCCTTGATGCATTTGCTGCCATATGATTTTAGAAGTTTTACAATGATACTCTTTTAAGCATATAGCACCAATATGACGACGATTCATTAATCCACAGGCAAACATGTTAAATTGCTGATGAGTTTTAAAGTATTATATAATTGTAACATATCTATAAAATTTTGTATTGAAATAGGATCAATATATCTTTGTGCATTTGTAGTTGTTCTTACAGTGCCTGTGGATAAGAATCAAATGTTCGTTTGAGTTTATCAATTTAATCTAAATATGTTCTATAATTTGGTTAATTAGGATTTAGGTTAATAGGTGTGGGGGGGGGGGACCAAATCGCATTTTATGTAGGGAAAATTTTAAAAATCCAGTGGCGGACTATCAGCATTTAGCGCCCACTCCCCCCGTCTGGAGTCGATCACGCCTAGTTGAGACCACGCCCAGCGCCGATAACGCCCCGTCCACCAAAAAAATTTTGACTGAGGTACGAAAAATCCTAGATCCGCCCCTGCTAAAAGACTAACTGCAAATGTAACGTCAAGAAAATCCCTTTTTCCTGATAAATCGAAAAATTCACGTCCAAGTCGTACAGAATGGTCTGATAAAGACAAGATAATGATAAAAGACCCAACATTTTGTGATGCTTGTACTGAGTCTGTCAACAAAGTTTGCAACTCATCTGGATTCTAGAACTGGTTTGTGTTTTGTTTTTGTTATTAAAATCCCACTTTAGTAATATATTTAACATGCATAAAAAATAATTAGGCATAAAACTGTGTATTTGTTTCCCACAATATTGGCAAGACAGTAAAAATACATATGGGGAATTGAAATGAATCATGTTTACATTTAAAAGTACTCTGGCATATGATCTTTATTCACCAGTCAATGTAAACCCCAACCCTGTAACCTGGAGGCTAATGTTGGAATTAGTTTAGCATTAGCAGCTTATCCCTATCAGTGGGACTTCAGTTTTGGCAGGGATTTGACCTTTCAACAGGAAAGGCACTAACAACTTTTGACCTGTGCAATACAGGTAGGTTGATTTTGATGATAAGAAGCAAGCTAAAAGCTTCTTATCATCAGAATGTGTGTTGGAGGGCATGGACAAATGGTGCTCTGCAGCTTAATGGGTTAATATAACATTGTGTTTATTATTTTGTATAATATCAATTTTTCTATCACAGGTGCTTCATGTCGTACCAGAGTTACCAAGCAATTGTCAAAGATTCAAGACTTTGTCAGAAGCAGAGACAGCATTTGACATTGATTACGTCAAATCCGAAGTATTAAATAATGACACTGTTAAATGTTGTTGTTTGAACAGTGCAGCACATGAACATACAGATGATTTACTTCAGTGCTCTTGTGGCACCAATGATCATAACAGTGATGATATTACAGAAGGTGTTTGTGGAGATATTGCAAAGAAATTTTTATCAATAATATCATTTAATTATACAATAATATAATTTTCCATGTCTGATAATTTTTATTGATAAAAAGGATACTTTCCAGGGATGGATTTACTGGGGGGGTGCAGGGGGAGGTGCTATTTTTTATGATAAAGCAAAAAAGACAAAATGAGATACAGTAATTTGAGTAATAACATGATGATAAGTGAACTGTGAACAACAACTACAATTCAAATACAGTAGTTGATGGGCACCTTGGGCGGGTGGCACACATGACCGACACAACTCGGATCCATCCCTGATCCACATAGATTTTGAAGATCTGGAGAAAGAACATTCAAACATTCTTGCAATGGAACAGTCTTACATGCATACATATCAAAAACAGTTTGATAGTTAAAGACTGTCCAAGCTTTCCTGAAATCTTTCAAGTAACTTTCAGGTGCACCTCTGATCTGGGACAGTACTTGAACAAAATCTGATGCATGTTTCTTGCTTAACTGGTATGCTTTTTTTAAGCCAAAACCTTTTATATTTTTAAGGTAATCACACCCTGCAGCAATGCACATATTTTGAAACTTTTCAAATGTCAGCTGTAGCCCATTCATCCAACAAGAAAAGAATGCCGTCTCCACTCATTTAAACCTTTACCATTACCTAGAATGTACAATACCATTACATTAAAGGCCAATTCTAGTTATATCTGACACAGTGTGATCGATTGCCCATTGTATCACTCTGAAATCAGACATTCTTTCAATAATTACCTCAGGAGTACTTCATTTTCCCCATTGCAAAGGGCAACATACACTTCCGATAGATGTGAGCAAGTGGATGAGCTATGAATGGTCAACTCTCAGAACATTGCATTAACCCATTACGTTGCAATGCACCATACTTTATTATTTTACTCTGTCTAACGCCTGTTGATTTACTTGAGAGGAGAGTATTGTGCATAGTCAATATGTTTGTAATATTTAGTACAAACCTTTTTGCAACCATAGCCGGCCAATAGGTCTGAATTCTCAGTTAGAACAAAATCTGCTTGACCCGTCCTAACAAAGTGATTTGGGCATCAGATTCGTATGGAGAAACAAAATATTTAATATTTTCCTTTTTGCACACCTTTAATTTACAAGAAAAAAATATTTAAAAATCCTAATAATATTACAGTAGGCCATTCCATGTAATCATTGCAAATACTTACACTGCATGCCAAAATGTAAAATAGAAATAATTGGTATATGAAGTTTTATACTCAACTAACATTTATACAGTTCTCTACATCTTGGTGCACAATGGATGCAGCTTGACTTTTCAGTTTCTTTGCTTCCTCTTTTGAAATACCAGGCTGACCAGATCTAGTCAAAAGACTTTCCCTTTACTTTTACTTTGCCTATTTCAAAATATATAACAGAGCATCAACTGGATTTTGGCCAACGTTTAGCAAATGCAAACCTACTATAATAGATGGACAAGTTCATTTAGTGTATGTAGTGTTTTTTACCTCTGTCTACGTTGATTTTCGATGGCCTTTGCTGGTAAAGGCAAACCATCAAATACAACGATTGGAACAATGCCCAACTCATTTGTCAATATTTGTAAATGTCGTCTAAATATCTCAGCGCATCAATGAAATAATAAACGAAAACCCATATAAATACATTATCAATCTAGAGGGAAATACTTCATTATAAACAGTAACATATCTCGTTCTTTATAAACTTATATAATTTTGAGAATCTCATAATTTTACTCACCCTTCGCGGTGGCCATTCTGGTTCATCGAAATATATTCGATCCAACATGAAGCGTCTATTGCCACTTTTTTACCCAAAAACATACGCATATTGTATTGTTTACCAAATTCTTTAATGACCGGCAGAAAATTGCTAATTCCATTATTCAAATACGTAAACTTTTATATAAAATGAATAAATCAGATGCCTGATCAGATGTGTATTCCAGCGTGGTCTGAATGGAAATGAGCTATATTTTGTTTTTAACCGTGATGCTTTGCGATTCCAATGCGCACACCGCCTGGTATCAAAATAAACTATCAAACTATTAAACTATTATATTAAATAAACACAAATATAAAACCTCGCGTAACCTGTTTACGCTGTTCAGGAAATATACTGATTCGCTCGTTTCGACACCAACACTTGCTGTTCTGGAGTTCTGTTCATTGCTTGCAATATTGTATTCCTGTTACAATCTTTTGTTTATTTTATCGTATAATTGCAATTTTTAAGTATTCGGGGTATTCTGAAACTTTAAAATTTGGTGTCGTGACAAGCGAGTCTTCTACAGACTAGTGAGACTACATAGCCTTTGGGTAGAGCTATTCGGGGGGGAAATTGAAATTAGTCGTTTAATTTAATTGTTTCTCTTGTTTTTATTTGTCAGTATAGAATATTGTAAATTACAGTATATACTGCAATACATTATAAATGTTGTACAAAGAAAACTACAGCTTACTCGATCAAGTGGACGTTTCCGGTTTCGTCAGGAAATATCATAGCTCACGTCGACACTGCTTTTGAGTTTTGTAACTGGACGGGAAAACTGAAGTCGTTGCTCATATACAATTCACGTTCTTACTTTGAAAGATTATTTTGCAAATACACTCGAACACAACAATTATAAAAATATTGTCAACGGTTATGTTAATTTTAAACAATAATGCTGTTAGCCGATCAGAATGCAAAATTAACCGGCCCAGACCAGAACTTCTCTTTTCTCCGCTCGTCCTCACACAAAAGCCCTGGGAATAAGGTTGGGAAAACGTTCTTTTAACACATACGTAGTTGATCATTATTTTTGTTATTTCTATCATCATAGATATAGACGAATGCAATATTGGAACTGACATATGTCATGAAAATGCCGACTGCATTGATAACGAGGGGAATTACTCATGTCAATGTAAAAATGGTTACTCTGGTAATGGTTTTGCATGTTCAAGTGAGTTTTAAAATTTTACATTCCGCCAAAGTAAAGTAGGTAAACTTTTTGAGGTGACAATAATAACAAAGTTACGATTGTGCCACTAATTAAGTTTGTTAATGCTTTAATGAAACGTTGTTGCCCATGTCACCTCAGCAAAATCAAAGACGTGCTGGGGTCTTAAAAAAGACAACGAATGAGCAACGTCCGATGGGGCTCATGCCTCTCTCCTCCGCAGAACCTCCATGAACTTTCCTGAATAAAAGTGAGCGCACGCGGTGTGATGGGAAGATTGAAATGAAGTTGGGGAAGCCCTGCCAGATAATGCGACGAAGTATGGTTTTTGAACCAAACTAGCTGTTTGACCTTTTTTTAAGCTTGAAATCGACGAAAATGTGAAAGAAATTGAAATGAATCTTCCTAATCTGAGTATCAAAGTTCAATAGAGTCATTTTTATCAAGAAATGTTGCAATTAAAAGGATATTTATAATTAGATACCTCGTATCCATTGATATTCGTTTGCAATTTATCAACATTTTTCGACGCCAATGGACGGAAGAATATATTGATATTTAGTTCTAATCACCCCAGGATACTCAAGTACGCCTGAAAATGAAAGTCGAAAACATGTTTTAACACCCTCGATGATTGATAGAACTTCGCTACAAACGATTATATACGAAGCCATATTGATTGCATTAACTCGCAGAGGCTTCCTTTATTTAGCTGTTCCCATCACTCCATGCGCGCTCACTTTTCCCTCACTAGAAAATTCATGTAAGCCTCTGCGGATATATCGTCAATTTTTGGAAAATACTAAATTTACGTAACTTTTCGGTCCAACATACGAAAATTTTCCGTAATATTTTCGTGAATTTTGACTTTTACAATATAAACTGTAATATCTTAATATTGACTTTCAAAATTAAAATCTCAATGTTTAAAAAATTTCAATGTTTTGATTCTAGGGGTTCAACAACGAGTTCTCGTTGGCTCGTCCTTAGTCAGCACGTCCCTGAGCCAATAACCTGAGTATCAGGCCGTAATTTTTAGGGCACAGACACGCCTGATCGTGGGCGAAGGGGAGAAAAGTACGGCCTGACACAAAAGTGGCATTTTGCCTGGTTGTTCAGTCCAGAATCTGGACTGAGCGCTGATTGGCCGATTAGACAAACGATTTTTAAATCTGTCATTTGATTGGCTGGTGCTAATTAGATTATACTATTGTTGTTGATATATTTTATAACGATCACAATTCACAACTACAATTATAGCCGGCGCACTAAACGGCTGAATTTAAATTAAAACTGCAGTAAAATTAGAAAATAATCGCAAATTAGCGAAATATATTGCAAATGTAGCTTATATTAAATCGCCATCAGATTGCACTATCGACTGACGTATAGTTATAAAGTATACTTTATAATTATACGTCAGTTGGTTGATAAATACGGCAAGCGCCATGTAAAGCTCATTGTAGTCACTGAAACCTCTGCGGAGGAGAGAGCAATCGGGTGGCGATTTAATATAAGCTACATTTGCAATATATTTCGCTAATTTGTGATTATTTTTGTTAATTTTATAAAAGTTCATTGCAGTTTTAATTTAAATTCAGCCGTTTAGTGGGCTGCCTATGCTATAATTAGATTGTTGTTGTCGTTGTGTGAAATTTAAATTTCTCCTGCGACATTTTGATTGGATACTAAATATAAACTTTGCTGTGGGCGGAAAACGATCGGGTTAAGTTTTGTGTCAGGCTCTATTTGTAAAATAGAGCCTGATACTCATGTTACTGAGCCAAATGCTTACGTATTAGCGCTTATATATATATATATATATATATATATATATATATATATATATATATATATATATATATACATAATCTTAAAATTTTATTAATCGCTACAGAGTGTTTCACGCTTTCAAAGCGATCTTCAGGCGATACTACTCTAAATAGTTTGCTTGCGCCATTCATTCAATGGTCCGCTGACGCGATTGCATCATGCGCGCGTGCGTTTAAAATTCCGCGCGCTAAATGA